CAAGCATACATGCCATAAATAACAATGCAAAGTTAACATTAATGGCTAATTAGATCCCACTACCTTGATCCAATGCTTTTTGTTTTTCTTGTTGTTCCTTCTTGCTTCCACAAGTGCCAAACCCTAACATGGCAATCCACAAAAAGGGAAGCAGGAATCATCAACCATTCCTCATAAAATCAATAACATAACTCAAGTAACTCCTAAACCCCTTAAAGTTTTCATCTTTGTTCTTGAATTTTTAGAGTTGGTTTCCATAAACCCTAAAAATCCCCTCTTGACTCAACCCTACATGATTTTTCATATAGATTCCAAATATCTACTTGGATTTAACAAAATAAACTTTTCTCTTCCAGTTTCAGCTTGGTCGAGCCCTTAGGGTTCATTACCCAAAAATTGCAACTTTGATTCTATGGCTTCCAACCCTTGTTCTTTAGGTTTACCCTACACCATTTTTCATTTTAAACACAATGGAAGCCTCAAAACTTTGAAAAACACATCCTAGGGTTCAGATCTTACTTTGGCTGAAATGGATCTCAAGCAACACAACCAAGAAAACACTTCAAAATCAACCTACAACCATTTGTAATCACTAGGATCTACTATACTTTGAAGTATTCTAGCAAGATCTAACAACCAAACTCCCTTCCCTTTTTATTATTCAGTTTGGCCAACCATTAGAGAGAGAGGGGACAGATTTTTCAACCATCAAAGAGAAGGAAAACAAGGCAAGAACATATCTAGGACTAAGAACTTACCTTGAATCCTTGATTGAATGACCAAAGTTGATAGCTTTTCCTTGGTTCTCCTTCAAAACCTTCTCTTTTCTCTCTTCCTCTCACTTGGCCGAAACTTTGATCAAAAAAATGGGGAGGATGAGCTCATTAATTCTCACAAAATATCCCATCTACCCACATTAATGAGAAGCCAAGTGTCAAGTGCCTACTTAGTCTTGCATTTTCCCTTTTAATTAACTTAATGACAGTTGAAATTAATTTCAAAAGTCAAGATCCTCTCCATTGGTAGCTTGACACTTGGAAAGCTCTAATTAACATCCATTAAAGGCTTGACAAGTGGCCACTTGTGGGCCAAGCAAAGTGCAAGACTCTACTTCTTGCTTTATCGGTGCACCTTTACTCCGAGTTTAACTTCTTTTCTATAATTACAGTACTCTGGCCTTTGTAATTATTTTCTGTCAGATCCATAAATTATTCTCCTCATTTTTATCTTCCCAAATTGCCCTCTTCGTCTCAAAATTAATTTCTCAATAATTAAATAAAATGGAAAACTAATTTCCTTCTCTTTAGTAATTTTTCCACTTTTCAGAGGAATTGGGAAAAATCTTGGACACTTGAGGGTCTTATTTTAATTCCATAATCTCTTATAATTCCTTGGGATATGAATTTTCTTGGGATTTTTATTCTTCTTAAAAATATTTATTTGGAATTTTCCAAATAAAGACCTTAAACTAGCTTAAATTGCCCTTAAATTCCTTTGTAATTTCTCTAAGGGCAAATTGATCATAAAACCAATTTTATAATCCCATATAATTCTCAAGGAACATTGTCCTTATTTTTCCTTAATTTTCTGAGATTCAGAATTATTTTTCCATAATTTTTCTTGACCAATTTTCCTTAATTAGTCAAACTTTTCATAATTGGCTTGGAAAATTATAATAATTATTTTCCACCAAAATTCTTCTATTTCTCCTTGTCATTTTTGGCCTTTAAATATTTAGAGATATTCTTATTCCTAATTGTCATATTACTGGATGTGACACTCAAGGTGTCGAGGATAAACTCCCATTCAAGCCGATCATAAGCTTTTTCTAGATCTACCTTTACCACTTGCCATCCCTTATTACCCTTCTTAGTTCTCATAGAATGGATTACTTCTCGAGCAATGATAATGTTGTCTCCACTTTGTCTCCCCTGAATGAAACTGCACTAATGTGGTCTGACTACCTTACCCATCACTTGCTTGAGTTTGTTACTAATTATCTTAGTGACAACCTTGTAGCTTACGTTGCACAAAAAGATGGGTCTGAAGTCCTTGATAGTTTCTGGTTTGTCCATCTTGGGAATAAGCACAATGTTGGTGTTATTTAGGCCTTTAATCTTATCCGAAGCATCAAATATATCCTTCACCAGTTGACAAACTGAATCCCCAATCACATTCCAAAATTCATGATAAAAGAAAGCTTGAATCCCATCCGGTCCCGGTGCTTTAAAGGGCCCAAAATCAAACACTACATTCTTAATTTCTTCTTTTATCGCTTCAGCTAAAATCATATTCACTTCATCGGTATTAATATTGGGAAAACCGGTGTGTGAAACAATAGGCTAGAAGCTTTTTTTATCACTTCAAAATAAGTCTCAGTAGTAGTTCAAAGCAACGTTTTTCAACTCATTCTGATCAAAAGACCACTCAGTCTCAGAGATTCTAAGCCCTTCAATCCTATCTTTCTGTGTCTGATGATGGCAGAGTCATGGAAAAATTTAATGTTTCTATCCCCCCATTTGAGCCAGTTACATCTAGACTTTTGAAACCAGATTAGTTCCTCCTGGGCTAAAGTTTTATTATACTCCTTCTAAAGCTCTTGTTCTACCCGTATAAGATGTTGACTATCTCTACGACCTCTCACCCTTTCAACTCCCTGAATTCTTTTCAGAAGATTATGCTTCTTAGATGGAATGTTGCCCATATTTTCCTTATTCCACTTCAAAGCTATTTCTTGGAAGCACCGAACATTTTCCTCCCATCTATCAAGTGACCAGCTTTGTTGGACCACTTCTCTAAAGCCTTCTTCCAAGAGCCATGAAGCCTGGCAACGAAACAGTGGTTTTCTTGGCCTCCTTTCTCTATTATTCATCAAATTCACTAAAAGAGGTCGATGGTCAGAACCAAATTTACTCAAGTGATGAACATTAGCAATAGGATAGTGATTACTCCAATTTGCATTAGCAAAGGCCCAATCAATACGTTCTTTAGTCATACCTCTTTCCCAAGTAAACCTCTCCCCCACCGTATCAATTTCAATCAATTGAGCTTGATGGATATAATTCCCAAATTGACGCATTGATCAAATATTAGGACTAGAGCCCCCTTTTTATCATTGTAGGAAAGGTAGGTGTTAAAATCACTAACTACCATCTAAGGTCCCATCATACTCTGACTGATAGAGATTAAATTATTCCAAAGAGCATTACGGAGATCACACCGAGGTTCAGCATACATGCAAGTAAGTTTAAAGGTTTCGGCCCTCTAATTACAAGTTACCTGAACGTGTATAAATTGAGTAGATAAAGAAATATAGCTGACATTTATTTCCTCCTCTCTTTAAAGAATCCATATACCCCCAGCATAGCTAGAAGCCTCCACTCTGATCCAATTGCTAAAACCCAACCTTCTGGTTATTCTCTCTGCCTTATCCCCACTTACGTGAGTCTCAACTAAAATCAGAATCTTTATATTTTTCTTCCTAGTCAAGTCCCTTATTCTAGCTGGAAAAGAAGGAGAGGCCGCACCACGGCAATTCCAAGAGATTAGATTAATCATTATAAGTAAAGGGAATTGGAGGCGGGGGAATCCCATCCAGAGCTCATACTGAAGCATCACCATTCAAGCATTCAGCACCCTCTTCCACGTCAAGTCTTTCCTCTTCAATAGTTTCATACCATAGGTCATTTGTATTTGTAGAGTCCTTCTCCTGAATCAAATATGCAATGGTCTCATTGACATCAAGAGGTTTTTTGGGCAAGTTGACCATTTGATTTTCCAAGTTTTCATAAGAGCCTGTTTGTTGGTCGTCTTCCCTTTTTCCTTGCTTTGTCCGTCCATTTCCTTCTTCTGTGTTCATGTCTGTCATATGGCTAAAAACCAATGGTCCCATTTTTGCAATTGACCCAATAACTACATGGTGATTTCGGACACCTTGTTTCTTCTTGAGCAGAGGTGAAACAATTTTAGGTCTTGTAGTATGGCTTCTTTTTTTGCTTCCCACCTTTTTTGTTTTCACTTGCTCTTCTATTTGTTTGGCAAAGAAAATTGGGTTGGTTGGGTCAGATAGGTTACTGGGCCTACTAAGGTCTTCTATATTTCCAACCGGGACCCTAGCCGTTTCCTTCTCCTTCTGCATCGTTAAACCGCTACGCTCCCTCGACTTGTTTCCTGTCTTTTCCTCTGGCATATTTTTACCTCTAACTTGAGACCTTTCTGTACCATCTGACTCTTCCATGCTCTGATTCCTCCCGTTAGCTTTCCTATCTTCTTTCATGGAGGTTTCTTTCCCACCTTTTCGTCTCTACTCTTTTGCAGGTCCCTTATTCTGGAAGTTTGGTTCAAATTCGGCTGAGGTGACAAGTATTTCACTTTCCTGCAACACTTCGTACCTTGAGCTCGGAGTGCTCTTCTATTCCTTGCTCCCAGATCTCCCCCTATGGTTACTTTTTGCTGTGTTTTCTTTTCTGAATGCATTCTGATATTTCTCGGTCTAAACGTCTTGGTAGCCTTCATCCAAGCTCCATACGGATCCTTCAGATTGACCCCTAGCACACTGAATAGGTGAGGCTTAGCATTCTGTTCCACTGTTGTCTTGCCGAAATCTGGGTTAGAGATTGAGTTCTCCGATGTATTTTCCATTGGCTTAACATTTAAAGGACAATCATCCTAAATATGCCCATACGTCCCACATTTAAAGCAAATAACTTTGAGACCTTTGTATTCCACGATGTAAATCCTCCTCCTAAGTGCAAATCTGGATTTGAGTTTCTGGTTTAAATCAACTTCAACGCTAACTCTGGCAAATTTTCCCCTTTTAACCATATTGATCTTGTCGTTGCAATGAGCAAGGGTGTTTAAATCCACCTTGAGTGCTTTACCAATTAAATTTCCCAGTTCAAGCATGAATTCCTCAACATAGCAGAGCAGCGGCAGTGTTGGAACCCAAACCCATATTGCTACTTTCCTGATTTTATTACAATATGGGTTGAAATTAGGACTCCATCACTGGACTGCTAGGTAGTGACCTTGGATCAGCCAGGGACCATTAAACAGAAGTTTGCGTTGCAGTTCAGAATCTGTCAATCGAAACACGAAGTAATTGTTCGGCAAATCGATAATTTTAAAATTTCTGGATTTTAGTAGCCACCATAGTCTATCTTTCATCATATCTCGGTTAGCCTTTCTGCCAAAATCGTGAGAATCAGAGCATCTTTCCATGGTCTACACAGCTCCTTTAGTCTTTCATCTGACAAATTCAGCTTCGGCAAGTTCTGGATTAGAATCTTCTCCTCTTCCGTCGGCGTTGGGGCCATTTCTTCCTCTTCTCTAAGCCATTCCTTCAATTGTTGCTCGTAATCTTGATTCAGAGCCTGTTCCTCATGGCCCATCAACATTGTATTGTAAGAAATTCAAGTTTTGGTAGGGCCTTGATGGTTTCGGTTGGCCTCGCTTCCTTCAGGTATTTCCACGTCCTCCATCGACACATCATTTCCCTCAACTTCTTGCTTGCGCGAGGGTTTAGCTGTGCTCCCTCCTCCTCTTTGTTAAGCTTCTTGATGCTTCTCGCCATTATATCCTCTTCCTCTTTTGTAGAATCCTTCCTCACATGTGATGGTTCCTCAACATTATATTGATCGCATTTCCCTGTTTCACACTATTTCTCTCGCTCTCACTCTTAAGTAGGATTTCTTTTATATTATAAAAACTTGAAGAATAAATTAGAAAAAAATGAAAAAAAAGACAATGAAAATTTCAAAACCTCAAATTAGATATTTTCACAAAAATGTGCTATTATTTTGCAAGTCAATTATTGTCAAAACTTGTTAAAGTTTTATAACAAATCCTGATTTAGGATTTTATAATTTTCACAATTTTTATTTGCCATTTCCCAATAAGTTATATTATTTACGACTCATAAAAAATTGAATTTAGCATAAATTATATACTGTAAATGGGAGAAATCAGTCTATGTCTAAAGAGGACATCCCTAATTTCATTAAAAAAAACTAAATTTTTATATAGTATTTATCTGAAGAGAAAATTTCAAAAAATGCCACTTAAATTTTAAAATTCTAAATCAGTCTTATTTCCTACTCTTTAATAGCTAGTAGCTACAATTAAAAAATAAATGACAACACATTTTTATCAGAATCCTTAATTTGGGATTTTGAAATTTAAGTTTTTTTTTTTGGGCAATTTTCCCTTATTTAAACCTCTTTCCCAAAAAAGCACTTAAATTTCCAAAAGGTAGGTTTCTAAATAATATAGTTTAGTTATTGTGATTGATTTGGAATTTCGCAAACTCATAACTTTTGGAGTTTTAGAAATTCAAATCACAATTATTTTAAATTTTCCCAAAAAATCTATAATGAAGAATAATCACCAACATAGCACATGGTGGGTAAGAAAACATAGTTCATATGCCACACTTAGAAATCATGAATCACGAATATCAAATTAGCTAATCATAAAATATTGCCCATTTTTTGCAATATGGTGCCTCAAGCTAAACTTTAAACCAAATTAATATTCAAAAAAAGCGACCAGATTGAGACGATCCAAACCAAAAACCGATGAATTAAGCACTTGTTTGATCTAGTTTAGTGTATGAACCAGTAAAAAACTACCCCAAACTGAATCGAACTAGACCGGTGCAAACCAGTCCTAATTAACCTAATTAAATTGAGGGGTTGAGTGGGGTTGCGTTGGTAACCCGAGGGGTTGAGTGGGTTGCCTAGGTTATTATTTAAAGTTTAGTACAACAAACCATTTACAAATTAATGGTCATACAAAAAGAACTATTAAGACACTTGAAGATATGTTGGGAACAAGCATCTTGGATTTTAAGAAAATGGATTATTTCATGCCACTCACTTAATTCACCTATAACAACAACTAGCATGCGAGTATCCAAATGGTCCTATGAAGCAGTGTATGAAAGAAGATGTAGATTTTCGTTGTGCTGCACTAAATTAAGTAGAAAAACAACTACATGGTCCAAATTTAGTTAACCAAGCCTTGGAGCATATCAAAATTATTAGGGGAAAAAAGCTCCAAGCAACTGGTATGGGAGTAGCATAAAGGAAGAATTTAAAAGTGGAAATATATGCAAGTGAAAAATTAAGGATAAAAAAACAAAGTTGTGAAATGTAAAGGCAGATTGATAAGTTTATTTAATTGGTTATAAGGAATTGAAGCTATAACAAGTTTTTTTTTTTTTCAAACCAGAGAACAAATATTTTATCTTAGTACAACAAAAGCTTTTTTTTTTTTGAGCTGGACAGATAAGCATCTAAATACATATGTATGTGTGTGTATTAATTTTCCCTTAGCTACATAACTTATAGGATTTGTTTATTTGCTGAGTCCATTATAAGAAGGGAGTCAAAAAGGAAGCAAAGTTCATCTGTGTAAGCCATTCTCTTAATCAGCCAGTCATGTGAGAGACAAATTTTGCAATAACTTGTCTAAGAGTAAATTGTGGTATTGTCATTTGAAGATCCAATCATGCATCAAATTCATGTAGACAATCTCTCCATTTATGAGGGAAAAGATCATCAAAAGTAAACCAAACCATAGACCAGAAGATGGCCTAAGAGTAAAAGTAAGTAGTAAATCTTTCCTTTTTATGTGATTGTGCATTGATTGCTACATATCTGGATGTGCTATATAATGTTGATTGTGCATGAGAATATGTAAATTGCTTTTATATATATGATATTACTTATCATGACAATATGCATTAGTTTTCATTTATTTTGGAATGTGGACGCAATAGTTAGTGACTAGCTATGTAAGTATAAGATGCTTGTGCATCACCAATTATATTTGGTTGCAAGGCGTTGTTTTTTTGGCCTAGGTAGCATGTTTGTTGTGATCTTATGTGATTACATGAAGGGATTTTGTTACTACTGGGATTCTTTAGAAACTCACCCCTTTCTTCTATATTATACATCAAGAGCAAGTACTTTTAAGGACAAAGGAGTTGTGATTGATAAAGCAAGGTGGAGGAGGTTGAAAAATCTATTTTGTATATTTTTTTAAAATATGCTTCCCATATTTTGCTAATTTGGAAGGAAGATATAAATGTGTATGTATTTATATTTTGGAATATAAATATTCTTTCATGAGGAAGTGGCTAGACACAAATAAACTACGGGTAAGTGCTATTGACAGAAATGACAGAAATGTAGATATATACTCCTTCCAGTTTTATATATAAGCTTTACTTTTAAAAAAGGGCCTGATCCAATTTATAAGTTTCATTTTGAGTGGTTTATAGTTATTTAGTTTGTATAAAGATCCGCTAGAGAGAAGTTTAGAAGAGCACATTAGTGGCTTCAATTCTGATGAGGATTTACTCCCATGAAATCTTCAATCTGAAATTTCAGCCTCTAAACCCCTACCCTATTTTGCAGAGATAGCAACTTCAAACCCGATGTTTTGCCTGCGTTGGCCTCAGTCAAGCACGCTTGAATAAGAATGGCCTATTTGGAACAACTTATAATATCACACGTTACTTCTAGGATGCCTTAGAGTTTATTTAGAACCATATCTGACCACATTGGATGGTCTTATACTCAAAATTTACATTCTGGACGTTACTTTTCATAAAATCACTATTCACTGTGCAATTTTCATATTACAGGTCCAACTTTGAAAAATCATAACTAATTCTAGAAAAATTGTATAGAGGTGTTCCAAAATTCTATGAAAAGCTCTTTGAAATCTTTAGTCAATTCATACAGTTAATTCATTAAACTTTACTGTTCATTTGGTAAGTTTTGGAACTTTCAGATTCTGTGCCTTAATTATGAAAATTCATATCTCCTTGTATTCACGTCCAATTGAGGTGATTTACCTCTCATTTTAAAGCTTGGGATGTGTAATATAGGCATATCAAATTTCATGGCTTAATTCCTTCATTCGATAAGTCAAACTAAAGCTCAAATTTGACTGCTTCAGGACCTATGTTTTATCCCTTTATCTTTGCTTGCTTTAATTCTTTTTATTTCTTTGACATACAAAACTTGGGCTTACTCTTTCTCATTCATTCTCATACATTTCCATTCATGCTATAGATATTCTAAATATATACATTGCATCATGGGCATTGATAAATATAATTTACAAAATAGGAGAATTATAAAGTGAACATAATCTCATGCATTAACCTCAATAGTTCTCCACTTTCTTCTCCTTGCTTCTCATGCCATTATTACCTATCATTGATTGACCTAAATGGTTAGTTAGGGAGGGGGTGAGATTTGGGAGAATTTCAATAGCAAACAATACCTATTAATCATGCTAAATGGATGCTAATGCACTGAATGCAACTTGCTTATTCTCTTGTTAATTAGTGACATATTAACATGCTCAAAGCTACTTTTTTGATGCATGGCCATAGAGACATAATCTACTTATCATAAACAGCAATTATAGTGACCAAAATATGTCACAATAATATTCAAGTAACATGTACACATCAACACAGAAGCATACAATATCAAGCAATGACAGTAGGTAAGTTTGATTCCCTTGACTTTTAAGTAGGCAAGTGTATCTTTACAATTTATCAATGCACTTTACTGGTCCCTTTCTCAATTCTGATCTCCTGGAGCACCGATATATTTGTCATGTTAGTTTTGTCTCATTCCACTACCCCCTCTCTCCTATTTAATGCCTTCACATGTGTCATGATTACCTCACATGATGTATTAATAAGCCATCATTACTTTTGTCTTTTTCTTAGGTATTTTTATCGATTAACTTAGCTCTTGTTTTTCGAGGCTTCTTTCTGGTTTTCTAGAGCTCTAAAAATTACTCTGTCTGCTCCAAAAATTCTTTTTATTTTTAGATAAAATCTATGAATTTTCTCAAGTCATAACTCATTTTGTAGGCCCCACTTAAAAATCATTTTTTAAAATGTCATTTTATCAGCATAATCAGCTTTATATTTTTATTAAAGCCATTTTACTGGCCTTCTGGTTGTGGGACTAATTTTATAAATTAATATAACCTTTCAACCATTCAACTTCATTTTTGCATACATTTTTTAGGTTTCTTGCTATTTTAAATAATTACCTCAAACAGTGTACTTTTTACCTATCATAACCTTAAAAATTCCATTTAAGTTGCCTTAGGGGTATTTTCATCATTTATCTTCATAGAAGAGTCTTAGAATATTATTTTCTATTTTTTGAGATTTTTTTAGAATTTTTTGTGTACTTTTCATTTTTATCCTTAAAGGCCGTAACTTTCTAAATTTACGGTTTTACCCCTACTTGGGCTCAACCTTATAAAACATCTTTTTGAAGCTTCTAACTTAACGCTTAGCCTGTATCAAGTCTGTTTTCTTTTCTGGGTTTTTGAGACTTTATTAGAATCTCTAACTTTGATTATATTTTAACCTCTGAAAACCTTTACTTTGTGAATTAGTCCCAAAAACTGTATTGACTTCTTTTTTTATCTTTGGAATCTCTGCTAAAAGGGGCTTAGTAGCCTACCTTCTTTAATTACTTCCAAAGCTTCTAGACTTAAAAATTGATATGTGACAAGACAAATATATAAGAAAAAGTTTATCTTGATTTACGTAAAACGTGTTTAAGCAAATGAAAGCGCTATAGGTTTGAGAAAGACAAAACGGCAGCTTGCTTTCATCTCTCAGAAAATCTAAACGTAACATTAAAAGACGTAAATGACAAAACAACCCTTTAAATCCGTAATTCTTATTTACGAAAATTTACTTAAGAAAAAATAAAAATAAAAATAATTTATTTAACTACAATTGTTTTCCATAATGAATATTTAAAATGTGCTTAAAATAAAATAACATTCAATAACCACATGTATAAAATATTAAATGAAAATTTTAATTATAAATATCCAAATTTTAATTAATCAATTTTTATAAAGTATAAAATGAAAAATAAAATAAAATGTAATAGATTAAATTATATTATTGTCAATAAAATTTTATTATCTTAATATGATTGGTTTAATCTTGAGTTGACTCTAATCTGACCCACTTTTTTTGAACCTTAGAATTTAACATACAAACACTTTGTTATGTGGGTATTCATTTATTATATTTTTCATAATTAAAATATGAATATTTTTACATATATTAAGTAAATAACATTATTGTAATTATTACCGATTTAACTTTGAGTTGATCCCATTTGATCTACTAATCCTTAAATCACTTCTTTGATCGGTCTAATTTTTTGCTCCTTAAACCAAATTGAATTTCTAGTTAGCTCTTATATTAAGAATTAGATATGTAAAACTAATTTTTATTTATATAATTAATAATTAAGCTGTGTGCATATATATTGATTAAATATATTTTTATATCTCAAACCATGGTTTTGTACCCCAATCCATGGTTTTAAATTCAAAAATAATTTTGTAAAAAAAAGGATTTGGATGATTTTTCTCCAAATCCTGATTTTCGCAATAATTAAAACCATGATTTGAATATGCACCCAAATATCTCCTAAGACTTTGTTTGTATGAGGAAAGTAAAAAGAAATGGAGGGGAGAAGAGGGGAGGGGAAGAAAAATTTTAATGAACTTGTTTTAAAAAATTGATAAAATTGAGTTAAAATTTTCATTAATTATTTTTTTATCTTATATTTTTTCTTTTTTAAAAATTCACTACTCCCCTAATTTTTTAAATCCTCACATCCCCTCACCCCCTATTCCCTTGTTAAAAGCACCGTCACCCTGAAAAATGTCTCCGAAACTTCTCTCCTCTAGAAAAGTCTGGAATATCGCGGGGTTCTTAAAGCAGCGGGAAGCAATACGTTACGCTGGCCCCATTTCCTAAGGTCTCGGAGCAACGACGGGTTAACTTTCTAGCCATTTTAACTGCCTGCATTTCGTGGATTCAAACAGTACTTTGCATTTCTTGGACAATTGAATGACTCTTTCCTCTCTCAGTCGGGTATGTTTCTCTCCCATATCTTTCGCTTTCGATTACGGTTTTACTGATATTGAATTTCCTTTTCTTCTCGTTTTCGAAAATCTCTCATCAAGGGCCTTGTACGGTGCTAATCTACTAAAAAAAATTTCGCTCTTTCTTGCCGTGACATTATACTTTTCGTTCTCAATTCATCTCAAATTGTTGATCATCCCTGCTATAAATCGTGTGAACGCATTTTCTGTCAGCTCCTGATAGTGCCTCCGAGTTATATAGCAGCTCAACTTGCCTTTGACTTTGGTTTCTTGAAGCCATTTTCTTGAAATTTTCAAGTTTCTTGGTTTTCCTAAAATTTGCAAGTTTTGCAAGTTTATTGATTTAGATTGCTCCGGATTTTATAATATGGCATTCAGTCGGTAAGTGTTCTAATATTTGTAGATGTAATGGGATTATTTCTTTCATTACTTAGATCCCTTTTACTGCTTGGGATATGATATAATGGGCCTTCAAACATTTGATTCTAACTCCTCCCTTAGCGCGTTGAAACTAGTTTCTTTAATATCTGAAAGTTTGGGGAATACAAAACACCTTGAAAACCTTGGTTCTTTAGTTTTGAAAGAACTGCGATGGGAAAAAAATCTCAATTCTTTTTCCATTTTTTCATTTTTGAATTTGCCACCATGAAACTGCATTATTATTACATAATCATCACGTGTCTTTTCTTATTACAAATTGCAAATGAGTTTTTTCATCTTGTCAATTAATTGTTGTATTAACTACTTGGTTCCCTTGGATTGTTATTGTTAGACTCTAAGGTCAATCTATGGATATTGATGATATTTTTGGCATCATTCAACCTGTGAATGTTCCAAGGAAGAGTGCAATTTATGTGTGGGGATACAATCAATCTAGGCAGACAGGTAGAAAGGAGGATAACGACCAGTTGCGGATTCCAAAGCAGCTGCCTCCTGAGCTATTTGGATGCCCAGCTGGTTTAAATGCACGCTGGTTGGATGTTGCTTGTGGTCGTGAGCATACAGCAGCAATAGCCTCTGATGGGTCTCTGTTTACTTGGGGTTTGGACATTTTCTGGGTTCTGTATCCCTTCTTCATATAACTCAGTGATAGTCAAAATCCGTATAGATGTCAAGAAGATTTGGAATTTCTTTTTTTTTTAATCTTGAATTTACACTGGTCACTGCGAGCTTGTAATCTATTAGCAATAATTCATATTTAAATCTAGACTAATATGATAGTAGTATTCTTATTGCAGGGGCTAATGACTTTGGCCAGTTGGGTGATGGAACTGAGAACCAAAGAAAATGTCCCAAGAAGGTAAAACAGTTACAATCTGAGTTTGTAAAATCTGTGTCCTGTGGAGCCCATTGTACTGCTTGCATTTCAGAACCCCGTGTGAGGGATGGTGCCAGGCCATCTGGAAGGCTCTGGGTTTGGGGGCAGAATCAGGTAAGTCTAGTAGCTGTTAAAGAATATCAGTTTATTTTGTGAATTTTGCTCCCAATTTCTCCTTTTTCTTCCTCCTTTTCACCTCCTGTGCTTCATCATTTGGTACAATTTTCCAATATATGTGGTGGATTAAAGTCGATTTCTTCTTTGTACCACAGGCTTCAAATCTTCCTCGCTTATTTTGGGGTGCTTTTAAACCTTATATGGTAAAATATATATTTGTTGCATGTATTGCACCTTTCACGTGTTTTGAGTTCTAAACTTATTTTTGATATTTCTTGATATTTAGCTCGTGTTTTCAACATTCAACTCGTTAATAGATAAAACATTGTTAGCACACAGATTGTGTAATATTTTAACTAATTCTAAATTGAAAAGAAGCCACTATTCTTTGCTATTTTAACCTTGGTTAACAAGGGATAATGGATGGAATCCATCAAATAAAGGCCTCGATCATGTTGGATTTCATCATGGGCACCATTAACCACATATAGCTCTTTAGTAAAAATATAATATGATCTCCAATAATCCTTGGCTTAAATAACTTGATCATAGTTTCCATCTGGTGCTCATGCCTCATTTTAGAGATAGTAATCCTAAATGAGCAATGTAACATAACAAATAGTTGAGGTGCTTGTATGAAAATGAAGGAGGCTCTTGCGCAAGAGCTCACAAGACACACACTCTGAATGACTTAAAGAGGGTGAATATGGTTATAATGAGCATAATTAGTTAGGCAGTCTACTTCTTCCAAGATGGTGTCAAATCTCCTTGATTAAGGTCAAAACATGATGCAATCTGTGTGATGGCCTGTCAACCTTGAAGATGTCGCTAAGGGCTGGATCAAACCTGCTAGATAGCAACACTAATTTTATTCTTTTGGCAAATGTCACGCATAGCCACAAAACTATTTGCATCTCTCTTCATATCTCCCCGGTAGACTGTTTACAGCCACTTCTACGTGCATATGAAAATACTGTGAATTCCCCCAAAGAACTGTGAAATACATTGATTTATGCTTGAACCCTTGGCGATTTTTTGGGTAGAATTAGTCTGCTTTTATATAATAAACAGTCGCCCTGAAGGTTGTACTTCTCATGTGGAGATCAATTGGTGATAACCTATTGAATTATTTGAGAAAGCATATAGTCTTGTATCTCCTCCTTAATACTCTGGTTTCAGATGGTGCTTGCACAAAAGCTCGCCGCCTCATGCATATATTTTGTCATGATAATTGTCTTATTTTTCTTTTCCTGTTTGTATTGTATGTCAAATGTGTAGCCCCCAAGTTTTCAAAGCCAACTTTGTTGTTCGTCCTCCTAAATCCTGATAGGGATTCCTCTAGTAACCCAAGAAATACAAAAATAAAAAAACTTGAAAATAATAAAAGTTGATTAGATAAAATCCAAGAAGAACTTGTCTCGAAATCCTTAGTTAATTTAAAAAAAAAAAAAGGCTCCACAAAGACACCAAACTCTTGCAACCTACTCGTATTCTATCACAAATAGAAAAACACAAGTAAATACTTGTCAGAGAATTTTCGTTCATAACTTCATAACTTGATACAACTGAATCTTTAAATAGAGAAAATTCTAATGAGGCTCTAAAGATTAAAATTAATCTAAAAATCTAAAAAATATTCTAAGGATAAGATGCCATCTATTGAAGTTTAAATCAATGATAGAGTAATAAGATGTAAGATAGTTTGGAAATAAAGGATGTCAGACAATATCCTTGAGATCCCTATTTGGCAATTCATGTTTCTAAAATAACATATCTAATGAATTATTCAAAAGATTTATTTGAAAATCCTAAAAAAATAAAGAATCTTAAGTAAATAAAGCACAAAATAACTAAAAATAAACTAATTAGGAGCTCTTAAGCATCTTAATTCTCGGTGGGTCCCCTTTAATGATTGGATCTCCATCAAATCCTCCGTCCTAGAAGCTATTTAAGGGCGTTTTGTTCTGTCTTGACAGTGAATGATAAAGCCTCCACCTTTCATATCTCTATTAACTAGCTTATTAGTAGTTAGGCTAATTCTATTTGACAATAGTTGGCTGTAGTGTGCAGTAAGTTTTTCTTGCTGCATTAGGACTGTGCTTGCACTAGAGCATCGAAGCATTTGTGATGGAAAAATATGGAAAACTTGCTTTAGGCATAGAATTCTATTTTACGCTTTTTTTTTTATTCTCTTGCTTTATATATTCTAACTTCCTATCCTCTATTTTTTCGTTATTTTCATTACTTATTTTTCAGTGTATAAGTTCAGATTAGTTAGACCAGTAGACCGTAAGTTATTTGTATTATTTTCTCTCTCAACTTCCTCTTCCCTCTATTCTCTTTGTTTATCTCTCTCTTTCTTCCACTTCCTTCTCATTACTTTTATCCTTCAACTAAAACCACCTATCATTCTTGCATTGATGAACCAACCAAACGATTCACAATTGGTCATAGCAATATATAGGATCCATCAAGAGTAAAGCACACAAAAATGCAAAATGTTTTGTAACCTTCATTGGTAATCATGCTAGACTAACTTAGGTTTAGCTTATGAGAGATAAATCTGAAGTTTTTCAATTTTTTTAATGACTTCCATTCTCTTGTTCAGAACCAGCTCCAAGCCATAATCCAATTTTCAATGAGTGATATTGCCAACAAGTACTTGAGTCAAAATATTGACCAATACCTAAGATTGAATGATAGACCTCTTGCAACCAATCCTTTACGTGCACGCACACACTGAACCTCGCTGTAAATAATGCATGTGAAATTAGTCCACCATTCTTGCTCTAACAGCAGCTCATATTCATATCTCTGTTTTCCTTTATTGAACTTTTTTGCTGGAGGGCTATCTACATCTTGTATTAGCCACAAATAATGAAAGTTGAGAGGTAGCTCTTTCCTAAACCATATCAAGCTTCTCATACCATCAGAATCTAGCGAATCTTATCTCTGCAAGAAAACGTTGCAGTTCGAATTCTGAACCTGCTCAGCTTGTTTTTGTGGAGCTTCTACAACTGCATGGACCCCTTCATTTTTTTTAGGGCGGGGCGGGGCAGGGCGGTTCTTTTCAATATCCTAAAGTATTTTGTAGTACGTCCAACACCCTGAAATATTTTTTCATATGCATCCAGTACCCTAAAATATTTTGTTTTATAATTTTGTTCTTATAAGTATTAACTCTTTCGAAAGCAATTTTAACTTTATCTTTAACTCTTCAAAAAGTACCATAAAGCATATTTTTAGTACCTTTTATGATACTGGACGCACCTAAAAAATACTTTAGGGTACTAGATGAGTTACAAAATATCTTAGATGCACTTGAAAAAATGCTTCAGGTGCTGAACACACCGCAAAATACTTTAGGGTGAATACTTGAATGTGTTAGACACATCTTAGCTTCTTTTTTTTTTTTCTTTTTAAAACAAAGTGAGACTTGTTCCTAGACCTACTCTTATCCATGTGTGATTGCTTTGTCATGTGAGCTCTCAAATTAATTAATTAAATTAACCCTATATAGTATAGAGGTCAATCTAGGTTGTCTCTTTTTGTGAGGAGCTTCATTAAAGTTTTGAAAATCTTTTTAATTAAAAAAATGTGATGTAGAGAAGGAAGGAGTAGGAAAGGAAGTCGATTGATTTTTTAGGAAATAAATTGAGAAAAATAAAAAAAATAAAAAAAATTAGAAGAAAGTGGAAAGAACTGAAGAATTTGCTAGAATGATGCACTTCCCATAGACGTTGATGCATGGCTATCAAAGTTTAAAAAGATGAGAAATTTGTATGAAAACAGTTTACCAAGTTAAAAGAAAACCCTAGATAACATCTAAGTCATAATTAACCGAGTAACTATTATACCTAGAAAGCTAGCTTATAATTATCTTTTAATTAATCAATTAAAAATCACTTAGCTTGTGAATTCAATTAAACAATTATATTTGTCCCTTGAAGAGAATTATGTATTGAAAACCCTAGAGCATAAACTATTTGTGCCAATCAAAACAAAAATCTATAAAAACAAGCACTCATAAAATCATGAGGAAAATGAAAATATATTCATTAAAAACTTCAAAATGTGATTGTTCAACTGAAACGTAAATTTAATAACAATTCATAAAAGTAAGAATCCTAACCTAGGAAATTCATGAAAGCAAAGTACTCATGGATTAAAATATAGAAACTAACAAACTCCCTAATATAAATAAGAATTTTGACCACGTCATCTTGTCCTAAAGAGCAAAGAGGACTAGCCACATATATGGATAAATGATATCAAGGAAGAAAATAAGAAGATAGTGAAACAGCTAGACACAAGAGGAAGCCAAGTGTATGCTTGTACTTGTGCAATTTAGGTGGCTTTCTTCCTTCTCCAAGTCTCCCTTGATCTCCCTTTATAGCTCTTAAATTCGTTCTAGTTTAATGAGGAAACCCTTGAGACTTCTAGATTGATTTTTTATCTTCTTTTATTTTGTAAATCCCTTGCCTTTGGGGAAAAGGATTTTATTTAATATATCTTGAATTTAAAAAGATAGAAATTGAATTTGAATTCTTTTGATTTTGTGTGATCTTCATGGTCGCCAAAAAGAAGAGTTTTTGAATTTAAATGATAATGGATTAAAAGATAATGTTTCAAATTTGAAAAAGATATGATGGTAGGATGACCTGGAGTTAGGGTTTAGGAAGAGGATAAAGATGACAATACGGATATTTAAAAAATTAAATGGATAATGGATATATGGTGGATATAGCACGAAATTTAATGAAAAATATGAATAAAATATTTATTCAACTTCAAAACACAATAAAGGAATTATCCACAAAAAGAATTAATTATTCAAGCTCTTTAATTTATAATGGATGATAAGAGATATTTTGGTTAGATATTTTGGATAATTTCCAATGAGATAATTGAAA